TGTGCGGCCAGCGGGCCAGGGGCCAGGTCCACGCTAGACCCCGGGTGCCGGCGAGCGGGGCGTCTCCCGGGCCGGGGCGCTGTCTGAAGGGCTGCCTTCCCGGGCAGGGCGGGTTTGCAGGGGCTGGGTGTTCATGTTCCTCGGATTGTGGCTGTTCCTGTGACTCACTTGCCTGCCCAGGTGGAAAGCAGGCAGGCAGACCCAGTTCCTGGCTAAAGACGAGAAAGCCCGGCCGATAAGAGAAAGGAAGCAGTCCTCTGTCGGCCGTGCTGGCGGCTCAAGTCTGTGCACGCTCCGCGCTGTCTGCCCGCTGGCCGAGGGAGAAAGGCAGCCGGAGTCCTCCGGGGTCTCCGGATCCCGACGCGCTCCTCGGGGAGGGCAGGGGGTGGGGTGAGGGAGGAAGTCCAGCCCTTCCTGGCAGACCGAGGGCGCTTGGAGCTGAACGCCTTAACCCCCACCTACTTCTCTGATGCTCACGGGCAAGCACAGATAAAAGGGGGAAAATGAACAGGGGAGGAGAGAGAGGCGTGAGGAAGGAAGAGAACAACTACGAAAGCGTCACCTCAGAGAACTCTTGGCAGTCTTGCTGGTGGAAGGCATCCTGCTGTTCCTGGCACTTCTGCCCTCGGGGCGCCAAGGCCACTGGCATGGCTGTCTAGGAGACCCCGGGGACCCAGGGTCCCAGGCTGCCCCTCACCTGTCCTCTGCTGAACAGATGGTGGCCGGGGACGCGGCCTCCCGCACGGCAGCAGCCCAAGATGCTGGGTCTGGGGCCACTTGAGCTGCCCTGCCCTTGAGCGGGCTGTCTGCTCCGGGGACCTAAGCAGCAGGCTCGCGTCCACCCGTGAAGTCAGGAGTTCCCGGCGTCGGATTCATCCCCGCCTGTGATCCCGCCGGCCGGGCCGGGCTGTGGTGCTGCCGGCTGCCAGAGGGCGTGTGCGCTCACGGAGCCGCAGCGGAGGGCTTTGTCTACAGGCTCCCGGGCTCCACGCCGCCTGCTGCCGGCCGCTCCACAGTCCTTGCTCACTCTCATAATGCCTGGCCCTCCCCTCCTCCTCCCCTCCTCCCCTCCACGCTCAGGAAATACATCAGGGATCGGACATCGAAGCAGAGGCTGCTGCTGCCGTCACCGCCGAGGGAGGACACAGCAGCATGAGCAGCCGAGCAAAGCGACAGATTTCCCAACATCCGACACTGGCCCACACCCGCCAGCGCCAAGGGCAGGAAGGGAGCTCAGGGAGGGTAGAGAAGAACATTCCTACAGTTCTGGCTGGCAGTTCCTAGAGCGGCCAGAGAGGGGACAGAGGAAGGTCGCCCAGAGGACACAGCCCAGGGGTTAAGGAATGACTGTGCCTCTCTGCCAAGGGGCACCACAGGAATCACAAAAACAGCACCAAGTAAGGACGTGACACCTGATACTCCTCAGGTGAGCGCCCCGAACAGCCCAGCGACTTCTCTCCGGCCTGGCCTGCGGGAGCGCAGGGAGAAGCCCCCGGCAGGCTGCCCACAACCTGAAGGAGGGCACCCGAGGGGCGGCACCGGGGACCCGGGGAAGCCAGGGCCAAGCCCCAAGTCCAGCTGTGGAGACAGGAAAGGTAACGTGCAGAAGACACCCAGGGACCACAGGCCACCTCTCGGCATGCTGGGGACTGCACCCAAGGCTGCTGCC